ACGCATGAATACAAATGTTTGCACTGTGCGAGGAATCGAACCCGCGACCATCGGACATAAAGCGGTGTGCCAGACCGCTAGACCACCGAGGTCGTCATGATGTAGTAGTTTAGTATATCCTTTGGTATTTTATTGTAAATTTTGACCCATAAAAAACTCATTGACTGTCTCTAAACGATACTAATCACTACTATCACTACTGTGTCAGAGATTTCAATGGAAAAGCTGATGATTTTATACATTATACATAACTAGCTTTTGCCCGCGGGTTAGCTCGCTTATCCCCTTAGGGGTGGAAATTATCAAAATCCTTTCCTAGAGGATGCCTACGTCATAACATCTACCTGCATGCCAAATTTTAGCCCGATCCGTCCAGTGGTTTGGGCTGTGCGTTGATAGATCACTATGTCAGTCACCTTTGAGTTATATATATTTAGGTTATTGTTGTAAATTGTGGGCTCATTTAGCGGAAGCTATTAACTATATATCATTAGAATAGAATAGAATAGAAAATAATTGATTCAAATAAATTTAAATAATCATAACAATTTTTTTTATAAACCGCTCATTCGGAAACTGACTCATCACGAGCGAGAAACTTGTGTGTTGCTCTTTTAAATAATCCTTGTAAGTTCACATTTTACAAGTCGAAACGTGTGAATACAAACTGCCAACCAGCACTAATTTATTAGGCTGAAATATAAAAACACAATAAGATTAAATCAGTCGTAGTCATAAGAGCAGACCAGTCCCTACAAGCAGTACGTTCACGAGTATGACGGATGAGCCAGCTATCACTGCACTCGACCATATTTTAGGGCGATATATATGAAATATGGATCATCTGGAGTGGAGCTCTTGCCACTTTCCACGATCTTCCATCATACTCATTAAATCTTAACACGTCATGATTCCAATTCTACTATATATGTGGTAATAAAATATCGTAGCATTTAAAGGTACGGTATTATATGAAAATTTCCCCTTATAAAAAAAAGGTATGTTGAGGCTGATATCTATGAATGGATGCTGCTTGTAGAGAGTGGTCTGCTCTGATAAATATAACAGATTTATTTTATTACTCAAGTAGGTATTGTATTTATTTACATTTGTCCATCTTGCTGTTTGTTATTTACACAAAATGCTGAACAACATTTATTTAAAAGAGCAACACGCAAGATCCTTGCTCGGTGCGAATGAACGGTAGAATTATTACACTATTCAACGAGACATTAGACTATTCAAAAGAGCTTCAAAAGAGCTATATATATATACACTAGCTGTACCCGCGACTTCGTCCGCGTAAATAATGAAAAAATATTTAACTCAATTAACACAATATAAGTCAAATAAATAAGTTTCATCATTTTAGCTTAAAAAATGATAAAAAATAAAAATAAATATTTAATCAATAGGCTAAAAAATAAATTTCAAGCTCCTAGCTTTAAACATGACGATACATCTATATAACCTTGGATCTACTCTTTCAATCCTCTTGCAACCCTTTTTCACATTAAAAAGTAACCTATGTCCTTTCTCAGGATCTAGTCTATCTATGTCTGTTTCAAATTTCAATTTAAATCGGTTCAGTATTTTTGGCGTGTAAGTGAGACAAACAGACAAAGTTACTTTCACATATATAATATCAGTAAGGTATTTAATAAACTAACCCTAAAAAGACAAAGAAAAAAGTTTAATCGTTCTAGCTTCCACAACCACACAAACAGCAAATTTCCACAATAACTTTCATTCCCTATTTTATTTTACTACCCCCCTCCCCCTAAGAGTAAAAATTTTACAAACATTGAATGTCATATTTATTGATATTTAAACAACAGCCTAAAAATGAGTCTCAAACTTCTAGTTTTAAAAAATGACGATTCTTCCATACAGCGTACCATTGCAACCCCCTTACAACCCTTTTTTCACATTCAAAAGTACCTTATATTCTTTGTCCGGGTATAAACTAACTGTGTACCAAATTTCATTTAAATTTTTATTTTGTTTTGGAGCGTAAGACTGACAGAAAGACAAACAGAGTTACTTTCACAGTTATAACATTAGTGGGGTATTTAAAAATCTACCCCAAAAGAACCAATGAAAATAGTTTCATCGTTCTAGTTTCAAAAATGACGATTTTACATAAAAACTTGCATCCCCTATTTTATTTTACCCCCTTAAGGGTAATTTTTTTACAAACAATGAATGTCATATATATTTATATTTAATCAACAACCTCAAAAATAATTTTCAAGCTTCTAGCTTCAAAAATGACGATTTTACATAAAAACTTGCATCCCCTATTTAATTTACCCCCTTAAGGGTATTTTTTTTACAAACAATGAATGTCATATGTATTTATATTTAATCAACAGTCTCAACAATAAGATTCAAGCTTCTAGCTTCAAAATTGACGTGTTTACATAAAAACTTGCATCCCCTATTTTATTTTACCCCTTAAGGGTAATTTTTTTACAAACAATGAATGTCATATGTATTTATATTTAATCAACAGTCTCAACAATAAGATTCAAGCTTCTAGCTTCAAAAATGACGTGTTTACATAAAAACTTGCATCCCCTATTTTATTTTACCCCCTTAAGGGTAATTTTTTTACAAACAATGAATGTCATAATTATTTATATTTAATCAACAGTCTCAACAATAAGATTCAAGCTTCTAGCTTCAAAAATGACGTGTTTACATAAAAACTTGCATCCCCTATTTTATTTTACCCCCTTAAGTGTAATTTTTTACAAACATTGAATGTCATTTTTATTTATATTTAATCAACAGTCTCAAAAATAAGTTTCAAGCTTCTAGCTTCAAAAATGACGATTCTTCCATACAATCTTTCATCCCCCCTTTTAACCTCTTACAACCCTTTTTTCGCATTAAAAAGTAGCCTATGTCCGTTCTCAGGGTCTAGACTATCTGTATACCAAATTTCATTCAAATCGGTTCAGTAGTTTTGGCGTGAAAGCGAGACAGACAGACAGAGTTACTTTCACATTTATAATATTAGTTTTTGTCGCAGCACAAAAATATATTTTTATCGTTTCCGTACAAATAATAATTTTACAGTATTAATCTACAAACCAACATTTTGTTTCTTACAATCAGCTAAATAATTTTAATAGTACCATAATATATGGCACAATGAAAAGGTCATTTATTTTATAAAAAAGACAGTTAGTTTTTATTTTAGTGAAAAATAAGAAAATTCTATTTTGATACAACAACCATATATTTATTAATACCTATACTTTATTAGTTTTGTGTTAATGCTTTTTAAATAAACATCCACACATTATTTCTGTATAAGCTACAAAAATGGGTAAATAATTTAATTTCGGATAGTGCCACACCAAAACATTCTTTAAAAAATGTAAATAATAAAATGTGAAGAAATTGTGATTGTTATTAAGTTTTTTTTTAATAAGTTCGTCAGAACAGAGAAACAACATTTGACATTTATTATTATTTGACATTTGACATTGACTTTAATTTTTGTAATTTATATTGTAAAACTTTAAGTTGGGCTAAACTGGGCTTGTATCCAGAGCCGTAAAACAAATTAATAAAAAAAATCGCCAAATTTGTCTCGCAATCGGCCAATTTCAGGTTTAAAGAAAAAACACATACACACGATATACGATTTTATCATAAAAAAGTGTCCAAAAACAATTTTTTCACTAAACGTCAACGTCATGTTTCCGGCAAGATCTTTCGTTTTACATTATGTTATCTGTGGTTTTGTTCTCTGTGATGGATACCTAATTGGCGCAAACGCACGCGATGTGTTGATTGGTTGTTAGCTAGTGAAATGAAAAGATGACGAATAAGGATTCAACCGCATAAAGATAACCTTGTATTTCCATTTTGAACCCCTTACAACCCTTTTTACGCATTAAAAAGTAGCCTATGTCCTTCCTCTGCGTCTAGACTATCTGCGTACTAAATTTCATTTAAATCGGTTCAGTAGTTTTGGCGTGAAAGCGAGACAGACAGACAGACAGACAGACAGAGTTACTTTCGCATTTATAATATTAGTTAGGATATCGTCGATAAAATAGAAAAAGGACATTTTTCAAAATTATAAGATAGAATTGCCTCCTTTTATATAAGTCAATTAAATTAACCACGCCGTCTTAATCATTATCTAAATACATTTAAAATGATATATAATACTTCTGTGTAAATTTAAACTTAAAAAAGAAAATAATGATTTAAATAAATTTAAAATCTTTATATGCTTGTCTTGTAAAAAACATACATTTTGAATACTGTCATTTTTCTATTTAGCCGACGATATATTCATATATTAAAAAAAACTACTGTTAAAACTTTAAACGATAAAAAATATTTATATAAATTTATAAACTTTAAATGCCTGTCTTGTAAAAAATATACATTTTGAATACTGCCATTTTTTTTATTTAACCGACAATATATTCATATATTTAAGAAAAACTACTGTTAAAACTTCGTTCTAAAAAAAAAATTTTAATAAATTTAAAAACTTTATATGCTTCTCTTGTAAAAAATATACATTTTGAATACTGCCATTTTTCTATTTAACCGTCGCACAATATATTTGTGTGACGTTTACTTCTATTTCTGTTTACCATATTACATTTATGAGAATTTTCTACAAGTAACTTAACTTCCTTCGTGGAAATTAGCGGAAGTTAAAACAATTGTACATTAATATATTAATAAGTTAATAACACATCCAATTACGTAAGATATAATAACAGGGTTTTTATAAACAACTCGTAGTACCTGCATGTTTGTAATAACAATCTGATTCATTACGTAGGTGCGTTTGTTTTAAAAATAATCCATTGTCTACTGTAGTAAATTGTTCCCAATATTGAGATGATAAAATCAATTATGAATACTCGTACAACACTACTCAAACTAAACCAACGCTACGAGATACTAATCCGTTGAAGGTAAATGAAAGGGTTTATTAAGATAAACATGTTTTGTTTCAGGTCGTTCGTGTTTTTATCAATAGTTGCCATATCTATGCTAGAATCTAGTGCGTTCACTATACGTCGTATGAAAGACGTAACTGTGAAACTCGAGCAAGATCTAGTCGGAGAGGGAAGTTCGCTGGTGGACGTGAAAGAGGAGTTGCCTAAAGCAAACAATATTAAAGTCATTGATTTACAAAATACTTCATTAGAGAAAATAGTTCCCGGAAAGACAACAGCCAAAGTGTATGAAATAAAAGGAGACTATCCAGGTAAAGATGAGAAAATTGAATTAACTACGGCCTACATAGTTTTGAAAACTGATGATGGTTATTTAAAAATAACTGGCCTACCGGTTTATACAAGTTCTGTAAATGAAGATACTTCATCCATCGCAATTACCTATGTACCAGATAAGAATGAAGAAGTTTTAAGACAACGAAGACAGAAAAGTGGAGAGAATGAAATCACTACTGCAACAAATGCCTTTACTACGTCTGGTGGTAATGATGAGGCTGTGTCGACGCAACCTTCAGAGACGTCGCAACAGATATCAACAGCGGAAATCAGAAATATTTTAAGCGACATCATATCACAGGAAGTCACAACTGTGGAAATTCCTTCAGAAATTGCCACAGCTGTTACCGATTATACAAGTGGTGTACCTACCATAGAATCGAAATCTACCAGGCGTAATAATTCCAGTAGTATTAATTTGTCACAAGCCACGGGAAACACAGCAAATATCAAATTACCTACTACTTCAATAATTAATTCAAGTAGTAGAACAATAGATAAATTAAATAGTACAGGTTTTGATGAGCCTATTTGGAAAAAATATAATACAATCAACAGAAAACCTGAAGAAATAGTTACAGATAGTATAATAGCCACCCATGAGAACATCGAAGGAACAACTAAAGAAGATGCACCGGCTCGCGTTACTTTAGAGAAAGTATTGAACGAGACTCCAATATCGTCACTGGAAGCCCTTAAGGAAGAAATGCTGTCGAATACCAATACATACAAGAGTATCCAAATGCAGACAGACACATATGCTACATCTACAATGCAACCAGCCTTTAGCGATGTCTACATAAGTGAAAGTGATAAATTGACTTCATCTCTAGAAACTAAGAGAACTTCACCGAGAATTCGACACTCGTCGTCAAAAAGAGCTGGTTTTCTAGATTATTCGGCAAAACCAATTGCAGATAATATAGCAGAAGAGGCAACAACAATAATAGATAATTACGACACTACCAGCATAACTGGTAATGAGAATTTGAGCACAACATTTGAATTTGAAGTACAAGATAGTGATAGTGTATTGGACAGCAAAAAAGAAGCGGAATCGCAAAGACAATTGGTAAGAATATTCTTATTACTAACATAGATAGGAATTACACATTAATTATCTGAAGTTAAATACTGGTTGACGTTTTTGTATTATTGGACATGATCTTTTCAAAAGGTTTTGGTCAATATAATAAACCCAGAAAGTTGATGTAATTAACAAAACAAAACATAGAATTGTTAATTAGGCTAGGTTTATTTCTTCTTATGACTTGATTCGAATGAATAAATATAAATGTATTCATGTTATATATCCTTGGGAGACATTTGAAATACTTCACGAGAATCTGAAAGACAAATAATGACCATTTCAGTAAACACCGCAAAATTGGCGACGTGTCTATATCAGAATATGTTATATGTCAAATATTTAAAATTTATAAAAAACAAGTCACAATACGAGTAATAAAAACATGTAATGAAATTGTAATTGAATCAGACATTTTCATAATAAGATATTTTATTATTTCAGGCGGAGGACGCAATAAAGGAAGAACTCCTGAAAGAAGAATTGCTTAGTGATAATGAAGAATATGCTAAGAGATACCGCCTCGAAGCTGGGGCTACTATCAATCGTACAACAGATATACTAACATTACCGAAAACAAATCAACAGATATTTGACGACAATTTAAGTGTAAAACCAATAAACTATGAAAAAGTAAAAAATCCTGTTAAGTACACAGTAAGTCCTAATTATAAACCATTAAAAAAAATAGAAGTACAATCACAAAAGCCTGTCTTAAGAGATCCTGACGATAATAGCTGGAGAAACGAGAGCATCAGTAGTTTAGGTATAGTATTTAAACCAAAAGCAGCCTCGAAAAATTATACTGAAGTTTTGAGAAATAAAACAGAAGCTTTGTTAAGTGGTTCTTTGATCAACGATAATAAGAATGATGTCCCTGATTTAAAAGAACGCTTGGAAAAAATAACTGAAGTCAGAAAGTCAAAGAAGAAGAAGGTCATAGATAAATTTGGTGAGCCAGTCTACAGTGATTACGACGAGGCTGTGTATTCTGTAGAATCTATAAGTCCCAATACGCCACCTTTAGAAACTACATCTGTTTATAAATCTGTGGCACAAAATATTATAGGAACTCTGCAAAGTACACCTTCAGTTGAGCCTGAACTTACAACATACACTAGTAATCCAGACCAACTCTATATCAGAAAGGATATAAATAAAGAATTAGATGGCATAACTACAGAAAAACCAAAGAAATATAATAGCGTCCTTGAATACTATGACACAACCGATGAATATGACGTTGACTATTTAAATCTTGCCAAATTAGATTTAAAGAAATATACACCAGGTGTCCTAAATAAGGAAACACCTATTTCTACTGTACCATCATCGGGGTCCTCGAAACCGGCCATCAATACTTTTCCTGAAAGAAAACCTACCATTCAATATTTCCCACCACGTGTTACGCAAAAAGTTAACTTTAATGAATACAACGAAGATTTCCAAAGGAAAGTGAATTCATATCCACACAACATACCTAAGAATAATGTTGGCCTCACATTCACCACGATACCTACTCAGTCCGTACCACGAAACAACTATGACCAGTATAATAAGAAGAATACAATTATACCATCGAATTACAACTCGCGCTCAAAACCGGCTACTATTGAAAAGAATGTACATACATCTAACGACCAGCGAGTACCGGGGGCACTGATGCAAAACAACGGATACGCAGTGGACACCGGAACTTACGACAGAGGCTCCTATGTTATTAGACATTACAAAGACTTCATAGATGAGGCTTCGAGAGACAACGATTACGATAGAAACGCTGAATATATCCCATACACAGAAGCCCCTCTCAGAGGCGTGACTTTAAATAATGTAGCTACATTAAAGGATAGGCCCAATGTGGATGCTGGTTATGATTACGAAACGCAGTTCCGCAAGGATATATTAAATAGATTTGTCGATAATTTCAACCAAAACAACGAGCGGTTCAAGGTCGATTTCCCGATATTATACAACAATAGTGTACTACACAGGAAGACGGACGAAAGCGGCAAGGTTCTAGCGACTTCGACCGCATTCATGAAGAGACTGTATGGAGAGGGTAATACTGCAACAAAGGCCAACAATTACGTGGTACGGGGGAGGCCTTGCGAGAATTGCGACAATATTACCGTAGAGTTGTCGCCGGCGTACGAACTGCATTATTATGTACCTGAGCAGGAAGAAAGGGAAGAGGCGGAGCCTCGATCGGTCACTTTGGCGTACAGATATACATTATGAAAGTAATTGTGGTTCTAGACTACGGATAGTTCGACTTTCGACCGCCAGTAACTATGTAGCTATTATATAAAATAGTCGAGCTATCGAAATAAGCACTAATTTGAATATATCGATAGGTAGTTAATATGTTTGGGCGGATTTTCTCCAGTAGAAACGTGCTATCAGTTTAAAAGTATTAAGTTGTAAATAATTAAATAAATAATTGTAAATACTTATGTACCTAACTTAATTAGTTTAGAGTGCGTTTAGATATGGGTATTTCAGTCGTACCGTACTTGTAGATTATAATGATAAATTACCAGGTCAGTAGCTGCCCCCGCGATTTCACCTTCATGAAATTTATAACCTATGTGTTTTGTTGTATAAGCTATATTATTGTAAAGTTTCATTAAAATTCATTCAGTAGTTTTGCGTGAAAGAGCAATAGACATCTATTCATTTATACTAACAAACTTTCGCGTTTATAATATTAGTAAGATAAGATATAGTCTATGTACATAACCACTTATGAACGTATTTTTTTTTTACAAATCTGTCGTCTATTAATGTAAATCAGTAATTATGAATATATTTAATTTATTCAATAAAATAAATATAATATATTGAATATCCCGTGTATGATCCACTAGTGCAGGGTAGCCTTTATTATCAACGTGCCATTTTTCAAAAAATGTTTAATGGGGTCATTGACGTACCATCAAATAATTTTGAGTTTCTGATTATTTGGAAAATAATAATAATAAATACTATCAAAACTCTCTATGAAATAAAATAACCAAAAGAGGCACATTTTGGATTGTTTTCATTACATGAATAAATTAAATTACTGTGACTTCTGTTGCTGCAGATTAGATGACAAATAATTTATGTCACAGTTGTACGATGTTACTTTTAGCAAAATGCATGCTGAACTGGATTCATCTGTCAAACGGTTTCTAATCGAGTTTTCAATGTTATTCATCTCTGAAAATAATGACTGGCAGGCATAGGTAGGTGAAAATATTGTTAAAATAATATGAGCCAGCTTCTTCAAACAGTTTTATGATCGACGACGTGCCCAAATTATTGTGTCGCGTGTCATCAATGGCACGCGTGCCATTGGTTCGCCTACCCTGCACTAGTGCATCCAAATTTGTCATTTGCAATTGTACGTTCACTGAATAATGTGTAATGCAATTTTATTTATTTTCAATATCATTTCAATAATTTATTTTTTCTCTACATTGTCGATCGAATTTCGGAGTGACGTGTTTGTACGTAATCGTTATTTATATCTAGTTATAGGATGCTAATAAAACTCATATATTTATAAATATTTATATAAAATTCATGCTTATAATTACATATAATGTTTTCTTTATATGTAGAATATATTGTAATCTTTGATGGTTTCTCTTCTTCGATGAAAATATCTAATAGGCATTCAATGTTTGAAGTTGGTATCAACTATATTTAGATATTTAATAATTATATAACCGAAACGATTAGAAATAAGTTCATTTACCAAAGATATGGTCATTAACGTGTTTGTCTGATTATCAGATTCCAAAAGGATTGAAACATTATTTGGACCGAAAAAAAATTAACATTAGTTACAATTTTTTAGGAGAAAGAATGTTTTTTACTTTTATTTACTTCTTTCCAAAGACAGTGGTTTTTTTTTTGTGGATGATAATGGAATGGTGCACACGCCTGCGCTAACGGTTTACGCTGGCGGGGCACCAGTGGAGGATGATAAGATGAGCATGAGGTCAGGTCAGTTAGCCCATCGTGACAAATTCACCAGGAAAATTTTCATGATGGTTTCCAGGGGGAACCGCGTGGAGGTCAACCTGACATGGTACATTGCTAGCAACGGGGTAATCAATCCACATTACTAACAATCCCTTTCCCCCCTAAGACAGTGGTTCGTGTCCTTGTTATTTGTCCCCCCGATCGATCCCCCGTCCAATTCAAACTGGGACCGATGTTACGACGGCCTGAGCCGAGGTTCAAACCCCTAGCGGTGCGTTCAGACTAAAGTCGTATCCGTCTGGCGGGAGTTGGCCTTCAGCCGCTCCATAAGTCCTTCCGCGAGATTAGAGTGTCATCTGCACTCGCCCCCTATCGTCCGGTGAAGCTGTAAAGGCCAGTTGCGGCCAACAGCATTAGAATAGTCGGAAAACCTTGTTATTTGTCTATTGGTATTAATTTAATAACATTTTTTTAACATTCCATGTTATTCCGCACTTTGTAATTAAAGCAAGAAATACCCGCGATTTCGTTCGCGTGGAATTTTATTTTATTTTTCTAAAATAAAAATTGAGTTACTCGTCCGACATTTTTGGCAGCAAAAAAAGTCCCGTCAAAATCGGTCCAGCCATTACAGAGATTAGCCGGAATAAACAGACAGACAAAAATTGTAGAAAACGTTATTTTGGTGTATGTACCGTATTTATATTCATATGCATGTACTAAAAACTTAACAGTTCTCTGTCTTAACTTAATAGTTCACAATTACAAACATACACTCCAATTTTATTTATATGTATTAATTTATAACTGTAAATTGAAAATTAAATGAAGTTCACATATAAATTAATAAAAAAAGTAAATTAATGCGAGAGAATGTTTCAGTCCTTTTGGGAATTTTATATCAATAGTATTTATATATTGTATATACAATATTTATGTAGTAATTTGAGAACTATTACATAGATTAAATCAGACAGACATGGCAATATATGTATATATAATTTAAGTACTTTATTTGAGTTACCAGATTGTATAAAATTCTGAATAGAGAAAGAGGTTCTGGAGATCAGGAAACATTTATATTACTTATAATATATTGAATGAAATACAGTTATGAGATTACAACCGCATATTTTGTTTTGTGGCAATAAAAATTTAAAAAAAATTACATATATTATCATAAGGTATAACAAAATTATCTTAATAGCGCGTTTTAGAAAATTGTCTGAAAAATACAGCGCCATCTAGTTGTACTAATATGAAACAATATTGTCTCGAACAAGATAATTGTTTATATTAAATTCATTTTTATATATATTTTAGTTTTAGTGTTGTATTTTATAGTCCAATTGTAATGACCACAGACCTCATATTGACTGTGTTGTGATAGTGTGATATAACAATACACGTCTTAATAAAAACATGATACAGGTGGTTTTATTTTTTTTTTAAATTAAGTGAGTTCTTTATTAGTTTGAGATTACCCATCTCCTCAATGTACATTGTTGCTCCTACATTTTTTTTTTATAAAAATTCTGAACAGTTTATAGTATAGCATTGTAGCGTCATCTAGTCCCAAGTTAAGTAGAGCTTCTGTGATGGCTAGCCAACTGACAGATATACTTGAATACATTTTTTGTAATTGCATACATAATATAAACAAAACATAAAAATAATCATAATCATGAATACAAATGTTTCGAGCGAGGAATCGAACCCACGACTATTGGATATTATGTACACCGCCTGGCGTACAAAACCGCTAGGCCATCAAGGCCAATTGCTCCTGTGTACGCCAGAGCGGGTCGCTAATTCATTGCTATAAATATTAACTATAAAAACAACTATATCATTGTACATTCATATTAGGGACATTGATTTTAGAAGAAAAAGTGTAATCCATCACATTTAAAATAAGTAATCATGTTGCTGAGTAACAGTTGATATGTAACGTGCAACTGATCGGAACGAGAATAAATTATATTTGCTGCTGTATATAATCCACTGAATATCTCCATCAATTCAAATATTAACTATAAAAATAACATGCATATAACAATTGAATTGTTTTAAAATCTATTTCAATCTTATGCAAATTAGGCAGTAGCAGTCCATTGCAGTAATTATGTAGTAATTTGGTAACATTTGAGTAATCAGCGCCACGGCGACACGCCAATCTATTTTTATACCCATTGTACATTTCATAAACATTATACAATATGAAATTCCTAATGTAAAATACATATTTTATATGCAAATTAAAATTCAAAATCTAATAACAAGGTCTATTACAGACTTTTATGATATGTCAAATCTACCGTCAGTTCGGAATGATTTCGAGATGAGAACTGACAAGAAGCTCAGCTCAAATTCTGTTCAAATAAATGTTGTACATGTTTAAAATAAAATCTTTCTAATAATACATAAGGAAATATGATGCCTCGTTCAGAGGCGAAACACGTGTCGCGATATGGCTGTATGTAGACTCAATAACGGTCGGAATTTGATCGCCACTAGAGAAGGTCGTAATGGTAGTCAAGTTTCCACACCGAATATTTGTAGTCTCACACATGCTAAATGTAGCGGAATTAAATCTAATAATATAAATGTTGTATATTGTTTATTAAATATTGTGTCATTCATTTTTAATCTATGGTATCTATACATCTTTATCTTAGTTATCTGTGTTTTTACTATTGGCAAAAAACCCTGGTTTATTCAGGGAAAAATATTTTTAGAGAGATTTTATACTCAAATTTGTCGACTGCGATTTGGACATTGTAAATTCAATGCACATTTACACCGAATGAAGATCATTAATTCTCCGATTTGTCTTTTATGCTCTAGTAACGAAAATCAAACAGAATTTTGCTCATTGCTAAGCTTCAAGAACTATATAAGATTATTCCGCCATCGCTTCAAGAACTATTCAAATGCACTGCAACTTTTAAACCAATTTACGACTTCATCATAGCAACTATCGGAGAATTATAAACATTTCAATTATGGACACATATATGGACTTAACACAAACTTATAATTAATGAAAAGATTTGGTTGATATCGCCTTGAAGAATTTTTGAATTTCATGGAAATACTACTGAAGATTAGGCTGTATGGACTCGTACCTTTGCCTATCCACTTGTGGATAAAATATACCACTACTACTACCTGTGTTTTTGTTATGCACTACTCTGTGCATTTTTGGTCTTAAGAAATTTTGTACTTTGAAATCGGTTGTTCGTTTTTTTGTGTGTTACTGTAATAAAGTATTTCGTATGTGATTTTAAAGTTTTATTGAAGATAAATAACAATAAATCCATCAAGTAGTGAAATGGACTTCCGCTAAATAACACCAATTCGATTAAATATAAGAAAATATATTTGTGTGAAGAGATCGCTGTTCTTGACCTAATATGTAATATAAATTAGGTACATAAATTAGTAATTAATTGTAGTAAACACGTACAAATTAGCCATATTAGGCGTGTAGCTGTCTAACATTGTTTAATTTAATGATCCGTTGAAATCTCGCATCCTATTATGAGAATTAATTAATAATTACCTATTTTCATTTATGT